ATTCAATTGTAAATGCAACTTTTACTGCATTCTTACAATTTGAAGTGAATTTTTCTTCTTCCTATCTTCCCTTCTTCACTGACTACGTTCTTTAAAGGAGACTTAGACTACTGCTATTACACCAAAACTTCTCTAAGAATATCATATCTATGGTAAATATTTTGTTGGTGTTCTTGGGCTAGTATTTCACAATCCCTAAATTTTTCTAGAGAGACCTTTAATCTAATTACAGATTGGATTTTATGGGTGCCTATAGGTTAAAAACAACTCTCTCCACACCTTATGACAGCTGCCTCTCATAATTTGGAGTAATGCGAATGAACCGTAATAAGCAAGATTTAATAATGTAGGTGGTCTAGGGGAAGTAACACTGCACTTCAGATTTACAGAGCTTCCTAGCCAGCACTGCACACATCATCCCAGCATCCCTGGGAGTGAAATTGATTTAGGTATTACCAGTGTATTTTTAGAGTTAAGTGATACCTGAAGATTATATAATTTTAGTCCTTCAGCTGTCACTTAATACAGCTAAAAACAGAAATAAAGCCTCAACCCTTTTCTAAACCTGAGCTCCTAACCCTTTTGCCAGGAGTTGGAGCCATGAAGTGGAAGATTCTGTTAAGATAGATAAAGGTTAAAAATCAATGTAAAAAGAGGGAGGAAAAAGACACTGTAAAAGGAGACACCAATGAATATTTCTAGTACTGCTATGGGGCACTAGTATTCTAATCTTGGACTGTATGCACCATTAGCTAAAGAAAGGGCAGCAGTTGGGGGCAGTTCTGAGAAAATAAGATTATATTAGATTATGTTACCTTTATAGTTCCTGATAATTTGTAACCTTTAAAATGCATCTTACTGGTGTGGCTCAGTGGTTGAGCAATGACCTATGAACCAGGAGGTCACGGTTTGATTCCTGGTCAGGACACATGCCCAAGTTGTAGGCTTGATCCCCACTGTGAGGCGTGCAGAAGGCAGCTGATCAATGATTCTTTTGTGTCATTGATGTTTCTATCTCTCTCTCCTTCTCCCTTCCTCTCTGAAATCAATTAAAAAAAAACAACACATCTTACTTTCCATATAACAATGTCAGGTCAAAAGTAACTTTGTTACTTAAAGTTGATAGTTGTCACCTCTTCAATTTTTTTTTAATGGGTAGCATAAGATAAATTGGATTTTTCTAATAGTTGAACTTGTGCTTTGAGAGGATGATTGAAACTGGGGAAAAGGAAGAAATTATTTGATGAAAGGATTAATGATGAATAGATAGATTCACTCATTCACCAGTTCAATTAAGTACTCAGGTTCTAGGCACAGTCCTGGAAATTAGGGACACAATGGCGACCTTACAGTCTAACAAAAGAGACAGACATTTCAAATTTGAAAGCAAACTGGCTCACTTGTCAGAATGGCTACCATCAACACATGATTAAAAAATGACAAGTGCTGGTGAGGATGTGGAGAAAAGGGAACCCTAGTGCACTGCTGGTGGGAATGCAGACTGGTGCAGCCATTATGAAACAGTTTGGAGTTTCCTCAAAAAATTAAACCTGGAGCTGCCATTTCACCCAGTGATCCCACGTCTAGGAATATATCCTAAGAAACCTGAAATGCCAATCAGAAAGAATTTATACACCCCTATGTTCATAGCAGCACATTTACAATAGCTAAGATCCGGAACAGCCCAATTGCCTATTAGTAGATGAGTGGATACAAAAGCTGTGGTCCATGTACACCATGGAATACTATGCAGATATAAAAAAGAAGAATCTCTTCCCCTTTGGGACAGGGTGGGTGGGTGGGAGGTAATCAACCAAAGACCTCTTATGTATATATGCACAACCCATGGTCAGTCAGGTGGTGAGGGCCTGGGGCAGGGGGCGGGGGACAAGGGTGAGCTGGAGGGGGCCGATGGGGGAAAAGGGGACATATGTAAGACTTTCAACAATAAAGATTTTAACAAAATGATTCCATAAAAAGAGAAAAAAGAAAGAAAACTGGGAGTGGTGTTAAGTAATAAGTACAATTTTTGTGAGGGCCTTGATACATTTAAAGTAGCCTTAGTGGCAATCAGAGATTAACACCTCCACAGTCTGAGCTGTTGGGCAAGGCTGTCCGGTAGAACAGTCTCTGAGACACGTCTCCCTGGGCTCAGAAAGGAGGCTAAAAAGTGTCCAAAGCAAAGAGGGTTACACCAGAGGTACAAGGTAGGATCCGCAGAATGAGATACTTACTCCTTATGCCCATAAGAACCTGTAACCACATAACCCTTCCTCTTCAAAGAAATAGGACTTTCATGTGAATAATAAACGATTTGGGTTGTATTTTCCGTTAGATCCTGGCTAAAAATTGACCTAGACTGAGTCGCCATGCATTCCTCAGAAGTGGAGGAAGAGATGAATATGCTGGGGAAATATTTGGTTGCTTGAGACTTCAGCCAGAGTTTTGCTTTCACAAAAATGTGCATTCCCAAGCTAAACCACAGAACAAAGCTTTTTAGAAAGAGAACTAACAAATCACTTAAAGCTGATGAGATTTTTGAACCAGTTCTCTATCCTAAAGAAGAAAAAAAAAACCAGTCTGCATCCTAGGTGGTCATTTAAAAGCCAGGTATCTCAAGTAATAAGAGCAAAACATACCTGTTGCATGCTCTTATGAAGCTGAGCTCATATAGTTTTCTTTAATGGCACTTATCTTCAGCATTATTAAATGTGCTTAGTTATGTTGGTGCCATTTGGGTCCTTATCACCTTTGGACAAAAGTAATTTATGAATTACTGGTTTGGCTCAGTGGACGGAGCACTGCCCTGCAGACTAAAGGGACCCGAGTTCAATTCCGGTCAAGGGCACATACCAGGGCTGTGGGCTTGATCCCCAGTAGAGGGTGTGTAGGAGGCACCCGATCAGTGATTCTCTCTCTCATCTTTGATGTTTCTCTCTCTCCCTCTCCCTTCCTCTCTGAACTCAATTAAAATATATTTCTTTAAAAAGTAATTTATGAACAGATAGGTGTTTTCTGTTTGTTTTAGACTACAGTGGCCATTTGTATCCTTGATATAATCCCCTATGTAGAAGAAGTAATTATGATATTGATAATTCAAACAAAAGTCATCTGACTGGTCAAAGGAAGAGAAACACTGGTTATTGCTAATAGAACAGGTGCAAACCCATTTATCTTATGATATTTCACTGATAGATGTCTTAATACAAAAGGCTTCTGTGACTTTGCCATTATTTTTGTTTTCAAAAAAGTTTTTACTCATGCCAGATATAAGTCTTACTCTTCTTTTTTTTTTTTTTTAAATATATTTTATTGATTCTTCACAGAGAGGAAGGGAGAGAGATAGAGAGTTGGAAACATCGATGAGAGAGAAACATCGACCAGCTGCCTCCTGCACACCCACCACTGGGGATGTGCCCGCAGCCCAGGCACATGCCCCTGACCGGAATCGAACCTGGGACCCTTCAGTCCGCAGGCCGACGCTCCATCCACTGAGCCAAACCGGTTTCGGCAAGTCTTACTCTTCCTGATTTTTTGAAAGTATATATATAAAATTTGTCCCTAATATATATAAAGAGAAAGTGAGGCCAAAGCTTTAAGGTTGATTTAATGTCTTATATAAATTTACTGATAGTTAATATACCTCTTGACAGACACATGCATATATTTATGCTGTCTATACTTTATCAGGTATCCAAATTCTATAAATAGATACTAAAATAATAATATCTTTGATTGCTAAATTTGGGTAATTTGAACACGTGCTATAAAAGGATTTCTTCTCCAGTGGAATTTTGTTGAAACCACATCATCAAAATGGTTTCTGGTTGAGACAAGAAAATTTCCTCACATTGAGTGGGAGGACATTAAAGACAAAATTGACCATGTAAAATTCTGTAGGGGAGGTGATTTTGTGACTGGGCTTGAGAATTAAACTGACCAAAGAGAGATTTAACAGAAGAAAAGCGTAAAAATTTTCATTTGGTGTTAATATTTTTATGTGGCTTGGGAGACTTTATGGAAAAGAAATGAAATACCAAGCATAGGGTCTGAGAGCTTATATATCATTTAAAGAAAGAATGATAAATTGTGCAGGTGTGGCAAGACAAAGGTTAAAAGGGGTTTGAGCTAGGGGTGGTAGATTGTGAGAAAGTGATGAGGAATTATATGGGGAAGATATAAAGTCCTAAAATGTTTTATTAACTTTAAACATGAGAGTAAATTACTTTGAGATACAATAAAGCTCTGTTATAAATAGCACTTCAATAGGCCATTTTGACTGCGTCAGCAGATTTAGGCAAAACTTTTGACTATTTCAGAAGTGAATTTTGCCTTTTCTTGTACCTGCTCCCCCCCCCCACCTTTCAAATAAAATAAAATAAAATCTCACAATTCTGAGAGGTTGTTTTAAATTTTGGCAGAACACTATAAATTGGTCTTTAAAAAAATAAACAGGAAGGAGAAGTTCAACTTAGAAATTATTTTATTTAAGGGGCTTTTGCTAAGGCATTGATTGATACAGCATTCTGTACAACGGGGAAGGCAAAGGGAAAAATAGCTGTGTACACCTTTCGCAGCTGCACAGTCATGATTTGGGAAAAGGCGACAAATGTTAGCGATTATAGGGGCTGTATCATACATAAGAGGAAATGACTTCATTAATTCAAATACAGGAGTCTTCCATCTTCAAAGATTGAGTTAAACTCCCTGTACTCAAAATTAAGAATTTGGTAAAGCTTACAATCTCTGATACAGAAATGCAGTATAACCACAGATTCGATATTTCTTCCTTTTTCAGTTATAGATGCAGCAACTTGCAATATCTCCCTGAAACATGAAGCAGGAAGAATAGTATTGAAAAGTAATATCGTTATATACCTTTACCCATCAAAGAGGCTTCATTCCACGAGTCTGTCTCCCGTGCCTAAATCTTGCATCAAACATTGGATAAACCCAAGTGTGTAGGAAGAGATGTGATTCTTGCAGTCATTCTCTTTGCCATGGGAGTGCTAAGGTTCAAGTATATCTTCTTTAGGAGCTTTGTTGGGTCCGGTGGAGCATTTCAGGTTGTGTTCATCTTCCTTCTGATCCCATGCTGCTTCACTAAGGACTACAGAGCAACCCCTATGCTCCCCAATGTTTCTTACCTCTGGGCCTGGAATGCCCCAACTGAGCCTTGTCCTAAGAAGTTTCATGTGTCGATAGATTTGAGCCTCTTCTCTTTAATAGGAAACCCCCAAAAAGATGCTGTAGGACAACCTGTCATATTATTTTATGTTGATAGACTTGGCCATTATCCTCATATAGATAAGAACGGCAAAAAAGAGCACGGAGGAATCCCCCAGCTAGGTGACACACAATCGCATCTGGCTAAAGCTGAGAAAGACATTGAGTTTTACATACCAAAAGACCAGCTGGGCTTGGCCATCATTGATTGGGAAGAATGGCGACCTATCTGGGCAAGAAACTGGAAACCTAAAGATATTTACAAGAATGAGTCTATTCTGCTGGTTCAGCGACAACATCCAGCATTTACTCTCGAAGAAGCCACCGATAAAGCCAAAGAAGAGTTTGAAAGAGATGGAAGGAAATTCATGGTAGAGACTTTGAAATTGGGAAAAAAACTTCGACCGAAATACTTATGGGGTTTTTATCTTTTTCCTGATTGTTACAATCATCAATATACTAAACCCAATTACACTGGGGTGTGCTTTGATATAGAAAAGAAAAGAAATAATGAACTCAACTGGTTGTGGAATGAAAGCACTGCCCTTTTCCCATCCATTTATTTGAATACCCACTTAATGAATTCTCCTAAGGCTGCACCCTTTGTCCGGAACCGTGTTAAGGAAGCCATTCGGGTTTCTGTAGTACTCAATGAAAAAAGTCCACTTCCGGTTTATATATATACTCGCCCAGTTTTTACTGATGATTCTTCAAAATACCTATCTCAGGTAAGCAAATCAAGGCATGAGGACTATGAAATAGAGCCCACAAATAGCGTGTGATGGAATTTAACATCATTAAAACATTTTTTAATGAGAATTTGAGTTAAACTGACAACGATATGCCGGGAACAAGATATCAAATGCTCTGGAGAATAAAAGTTTTGCAGCTTAACATCATTTTTGAAGGGAATGAAACTTAGCTTTTAATATCCTTTAGGAATATGCACATATATAGTTCTGCATTATCACATGCATGTAAAATAAGAATACATTTCATTTTAATGCAAGCATCTTAGCAATCATGGGAGATTAGGTAGTATAGGCCATATATTTTCTCAGTTTCTTTTTTTTTCCTTTTTCTTTCATCGGCCTGCTCTGCTGTCAATAGAAGTAACTAAAAATAATAGAATACCTGTATTTTTTAATAGTAGGTAGCAGTAGCGTGAAAGATGGAACTATATAGTGGGGAAAACAAAAGAAAAATTGTATTTCATAATACATGAAAATTATGTAAAATTTAAATTTTTAAATTATTATTGTTGGTCATCATTCTTAGCTTTGGTGTTATTGTCCTACGTATAACACTTTTATTTTATTATGCATATCTGCTAACTTTTTCTGTCTCATTTGCCAGGAGGACCTTATACATACACTTGGTGAAACCATTTCTCTAGGTGCCTCTGGACTTATAATCTGGGGCAGCTTCAATTTAAGCCATAGTGTGGTAAGTTGAATTGATAAGACATAGATGCAAACATTTCTACTTTTAATGTTTTTGAGGGTTGTTGAGGTATTAAGTAATAAAATAAGCACTATACTTGGCACACAGTAGGAGGTGCTTAATACTGGCTGACTAAATAACCGCATACTATCATTGTGCGGTTATTTTGGGGAGCAGAAAATATTGTACTTGTTTTTCAGTGAGAAAACAGAAATTCAGTGAGACTAATTGAAGTTCTCTAGGACTACAGTCCCAGTCTTCAGACAGTGTTTGGTGTGTGTGTGTTTTTTTTTCTTTTCTATTACACCATGCTATAGCTCTTTTCAAAAGAATGAATGTATTTATTCATTCTTTCACTCATTCAACGACTCTTCATTAAGCACTGCTTTATCCACTTAGTCATTTAGTGATTCGGTGACAGTTTTATTGCAACGGTCAGCAAGCAATGTCCATAGGCCAAATCTGGCCTACTGCTTGCTTCTTTCTGTACATGAGCTAAGAGTGATTTTTTAAAAATATATTTTATTGATTTTTCACAGAGAGGAAGGGAGAGAGATAGAGAGTTAGAAACATCGATGAGAGAGAAACATCGATCTGCTGCCTCCTGCACATCTCCCACTGGGGATGTGCCCGCAACCCAGGTACATGCCCTTGACCGGAATCGAACCTGGGACCTTTCAGTCCGCAGGCCGATGCTCTATCCACTGAGCCAAACCGGTTTTGGTGCTAAGAGTGATTTTTACATTTTTTAAATGGATTTAAAAAACAAAAAAATAGTTAGTAATACATGAAAATTATATGCAGTTTAAATGTCAGTGTCTATTAGTAAAATTTCATTGGAACAGTCAAGCTCATTTGTTTAGGTATCTGTGGCTGCTTTTATAGTACAAAGGAATAACTAAGACTATCTCATTTAAAAACCCCAAAGTATTTACTGTCTGTCCTTTACAGGAAAAGTTCCCAACCCTTGGCTTATTGATTAAGTACCAGGTAATTGTTTAGATGCTAGAACTACAGCAGTGAACATAGCAAAGACCTTTCACCATGAACCTATCCTATATAATAAAAAGCTAATATGCAAATTTACTGAACGGCAGAATGGCCAGTTGCTATGATGTGCACTGACCACCAGGGGGCAGATGTTCAATGCAGGAGCTGCCCCCTGGTGGTCAATGCTCTCCAACGGGGGGAGTACCACTCAGCCAGAAGCCGGGCTCACAGCTGGTGAGCACAGCAGCAGTGGCAGGAGCCTCTCCCACTTCTGTGGCAGCCCTAAGAATGTCTGACTGCTGGCGTAGGCCCGCTCCGGCATCAGTTGGACATCCCCTAAGGACTCCTGGACTGCAAGCTGGGCTCAGGCCGGGCTGAGGAACCCCCTTGAGTGACGAATTTTGTGCACTGGGCCTCTAGTATTCTCACAAGTGGAATACAACATTATATACATAACTAGAGGCCCGATGCATGAAATTTATGTATAGGTAGCGTCCCTAGGCCTGGCCGGCGATCAGGGCTGATCTGTGGGGTGACCAGTGGGGCAATCGGGGGGCCCCCGCTGGCACCTGTCCTGGTTGGCCTGGAGCCTGTGGGCTGGAGACAGCTCCTGCATTGAGTGTCTGCCCCTTGGTGGTCAGTGTGTATCATAGTGACTGGTTGTTCTGACATTCAGTCAATTTGCATATTATGCTTTTATTATATAGGACTAGAGGCCCAATGCACGAAAATTCGTGCACTGGAGGGGGGTGTCCCTCAGTCCAGCCTGCCCCTTCTCACAGTCCAGGAGCCCTGAGGGGATGTCCTACTGATGGCAGGGAGTGGGCCTAAGCCACAGTCTAGCCTCCCTCTGCAGGAGGCGACTGGATGATCAGGGGAAGGTGATGCCTCATTATGTCTCCACTGCTGCCACTGCCAGCAGCCGTGGCTGCCTGCGCCTCGGCCCGGCCCTCGTTGCCTGAGCCTTGGGCCCCTGCAGTGGCAGCCACCATCGGTGGTTTGCCTGAGCCTCAGGCAGCTGCTGCGGCTTTGTCCAGGACGTCTGGATGATTGTC